CAAATTGAGGTAAGCATGTTACAAAGACGTCAGGGCTTGATTGGCAACCAGCCCAAATAACTATGATTTGGACCCTCAAAATATCGTTACTTTTACCTGTACTGACAAAATCGCATTTCGCCTTGTTCTTCTTGGCTTGTAACGCTAATTTTATCTACCCTTATGCCGAATCGTCAAAAATCTCGGCGGCATACATCGTCTCTATTGCATAAGAAACAACCAAAATATACTACTTCTCTCTGCAATATGATAGAAATTCATAGTAAAGGAGTGACTGTGTAAGCGATCGCATGATACAACAACATAGCATTACTCCTGGGTGTACATTCTTTTGCTATTAGTGAAAAGCTTGTTAAATGTAATGTATGAAGGGCTATTAAAGTGCTCTCAAAAAGTAAATTTGCTTTCGTGCACCCTACTAGCAGTGCCCTATCACATGATATATACATCCATTTCTTTTCTGGTCTGTTGGGTTAAACTGATGCTGATACTGTAGCAGAACAGAGACGACGCTTTAGGCAATAGTGATGAGCAGTTCTATTGATATAGAATAACAACTTGACAACACGGCTGTCATACCAGTCAAGATTGCATTTTGTCCTGTTTGACAAACAAGGCTAAATTGTTTTTTTTATTGACAAGTTCACGTTTTCAGGTAATCGCTAATTAGGGCTGCCAAACAAGCCCTGGGATTGCGGTTGGGGCGGAACCTGCCGAAGAAGTGGAGGAAGAAAAAGAATCTTCAGATGAGGAAGGAAACAAGGGAAACGAGAGAGTGTTGGTGTTGGAGTAGCCCATCTTCAATGAGTTGGCAGAGAGAGCAAAAAGATCGCGAGTTTATCATACCCTGTCAAATGAATTTTAAACGCCTTTTTTCTCTGCTAGAAATGGTAGAATAAGTGGTTTAGCTGGTCCGCTGGACTTGCTCCTGATATCTAGAAAAGGTGAACATGTATCAACAAAAGCTTTCTAAAACATTTTGATTTAAGGTACACATTTAGAATGTCAGCCTACATATGCTCGTGATGTAGACGAGTGAGTGTACGGATTTTAATTGGCCATCACTCATTTTTGAAAATTCTGTTTGCCCATTTTCTCTTGCTGCCATTGCCCATGTAAAGGATGGATATAAGAAGCTTATATTTTTATGCTCTATGCTGTATGCTTGTGTCTCATACATTCAATCCTCGGCAGGTTTTTCTGAGCTTCTTTAAGATCGCTATAGAAATGATGATCACTATAGTTCGCGTTGTATATATTTTATTAAGAATCATACAGTCTGAAACTCTCCAATACTTTGTCCTCCTGGTGGATTGCTAACGCAAAAGAATGAAAGTCGTTGGCAAAATTCCATCTCATTGTCCGTCAGCCATGGCTTCCTTTTACTACTTCCGCTTACACTTCACAATCGTATACCTTCTTATAATGTATCCTCAACAAGCTATGTAAAAAACCGGCATAGATCATGGTAAAAATATCAACCCTTTCCAAGGGTCTATCACCCTCTATATGTGACCGAGTACGATACTCCTTAATAAGAGCGTCAGTATGTCGAAATCTTTTTTCCGTGAAGAATTAGTATATACGTTCAGCACAATCGCGGCGTTGACTTAGAGACGTAACCAGAGTTACAGCGTTTCAGTATATATAGCAAGATAGCGTGTATATAGTTTCACGTTAGTGTTATGCCTGGGCAATGACAAGGTTCTGTTACTATGTATGTATTGTTTCCCAGCACTTTTTTATGCATGCTACCATACAGTATGTAATCAATTAGAATAAACTTATAAAGCAGCCTTTTTATAACTACTTACAATAGTTACAAGCGAGCATCAATTCTTGTTACTGTCGGATGTGGTTTTTAGTCTCTTGAATATTATATTATTCCCAGAAGCATCAAGCCGTTTGGTCCACAAATAAATCTTGTGTGAGAAGACCTTTTATATACATGAATGCGCAACATACAGAGTTTTGCTGGTTGACGATGATCTACGTAAGCTTGTGAAACATCATTGCTTAACAGCAGAAGAAAGTGTCTATGGTATGCTCAAAGAAATGCTTGTTTAAAGCTTCATAATACTCAAATAACGCAAGCGTTTAATTGAAATCTGTTGGTCAGAAACATCCTTTTGTCTCTTCCAAGATAGAAAACCGTCGAGAGATGAGTTGGAGATTAACCACGATTGGACCAATAAAATTTCATAGGTACCAAAGCCGTGTTTTTCATTTCCTAAATTGCTGCGCACGCAAACAACGCATTGACAAAGCTATCAATTGGATGCTGAATTATGTAAGAACCGTATCTCGGCAAAGTTCAACTGTTGCATGAGAGTCATTGATCGATTAATCTTTTTTTTCTCGATCTGTGAGGTGACGTATCTATGCTCAATTAGTCATGCTTTGCAAATGCTCAGGAAGTAAAAGCACGACAGTTCAGCCATGTATTACTAATCCCGCAGTGTAGAGACAGCTCCGGTTCAAAAATATAAAAATATACACCAGAAACTCTTTCTTTTTGTTCCTGTTTATTTCATATTATAGAACATTGAAATGGTTCCGGTCCCGAAGCCTACAAAGCAAATCTACGATTACCTTGTGATTGGTGGCGGCTCTGGGGGTTTGGCCTCTGCTCGCCGAGCCAGCGGTATCCACAAGGCTAGCGTGGCCCTTATAGAAGCACAACATCGTCTCGGTGGTACTTGTGTCAATGTCGGCTGCGTACCTAAGAAAGTCATGTGGAATACAGGTAAGCGAATAATAAAACTAGGATTTTGAATGACGCCGGGCATGGGAGTAGGGGGAGATGGTACAAGGTGGAAGTGATAAGCTAACCAGTGTCAAACTCGGGAATAAAGCTGCGGTGGCCGAGACTTTGCGCGATGCTCCTAGTTACGGTTTCGAATTGAAGGCCATGCCAGCATTCAACTGGGGCGCTTTGAAGGCTAAGCGCGATGCTTATGTGAAGCGTTTGAACGGAATTTACGAACGTAACTTGGGCAACGATAATGTCGAGCATTTGCAAGGTTTTGCTAGCTTTGTTGGACCCAACACCGTTCGTGTTCAGCACTCCGAGACCGAGTCGTACGAAGTGCAAGCAAAAAATATTCTAATTGCCACTGGTATGTTGCAAAACTGAAAAGATACCATATTTCATGGAGCGTGTAAAAGTATTGGAAAAGGAGGGGGTTATTGACCAACAAGTCGGGATGTGTGTATAGGTGGCCACCCTATTATTCCCAACATTCCCGGTGCTGAACTCGGCATTGATTCGGATGGCTTCTTTGATTTGGAAACGCAGCCCAAGCGTGTGGCTGTAATTGGCACTGGTTACATTGGTATCGAGATTGCTGGTATTTTTAATGCTTTGGGCTCAGAGACCACCGTATTCTCGCGCACCAAGCACATTCTGCGACACTTTGACAGCATTATTCGCGACAACGTGTTGAAGGAGATGGAAGCGACCGGTGTCAAGTTTGCTTACGAGTCGCAGGTCAAGTCCTTGTCGCGCTCTGACAGCGGTATCCGTGTCGATTACGAATCGGCTGGTGAGTCGAGTTCCGTGGAAGTCGATTGCGTCCTCTGGGCTATCGGCCGTGCACCCAACGTAAAGAAGCTCAACTTGGATGCTGCTGACGTCAAGACCGACGAGAAGGGTTATATCGTTGTTGATGAATACCAGAACACCTCGACCGCTAATGTGCTTGCATTGGGTGATGCCTGTGGTAACTTTGAATTGACGCCTGGTATGTCTAATTTCGTATAGTGGTGTAATATAAAGCATGGGACGTTGGTTTTTAAGAGAGTGGTGTTTCATCTCTATGAATACTACGTGATGCTTACATAAGAATAATTAGTTGCCATTGCTGCTGGTCGTCGTCTTTCGGACCGTCTCTTTGGCGGCGAGCAATTCAAGAACGCAAAGATTGATTACGACAACATTCCTACCGTTGTGTTCTCGCATCCTACTGCCGGTACCATTGGTTTGACCGAAGACGAAGCCCGTGCCAAGTTTGGCGATGCCAATGTCAAGACTTACACCTCCAAGTTCGTCAACATGTACTTTTCCATGCTGGATCACAAGGAGCCCACTGCTTACAAGCTTGTGGTGACGGGCCCTGAGGAGAAGGTTGTTGGTGTGCATCTGTTTGGCCGTGAAAGTGATGAAATCCTTCAAGGCTTCGGCGTTGCTGTTCGCATGGGAGCCACCAAGGCCGATTTCGATAACTGCGTAGCTATCCATCCTACCGCTGCCGAGGAGTTGGTGACCATGCGCTAAAGGGGGATCGTCTCCTCTACTTTTCTTGTAATTTCCTTTTTATTAATACTTGATTGTACTATAACATTTGACACATCCATTACATATATGCGATATACATCATTGCTGGGATATTGCGCAGCGTTAGAGTGCATAAATGCATGCAATTCTATGTGAAACAGCAAGGATTATTGTAGTTCTTGTACGCAGCAAGATGATGATACAGAAAAAAAAAGCACATGTTTGAGGTCATGTGAGTTTCGATCAAGGAAGTTGAACCCGAACAAAAAAATTCCCGCGGAACAATAAGACGCTCTCGAAACAAAATGGGTGCATCTGCCGGCTTCTGTTTCCCTCTTCTTCCCCAACCTTTCATTACTTTAAAAACCTTTTTTTTTCTCTTCGACCATGGACCGAGTAATGGATAGTATAAGAAACGTGAACCATAGCCTGGTTTTTCGCATCATCAATATCATTGTAGCGTGCTTTATGGTAAGGCTACCCTACCCACGCCGAGAAAAGATGCTCACCGCCAAGACTCGACAGCCGCGATACATAGTAATGGGCAAGACTGCTTACAATTATAATTGCTCTCTCTTTTCCTATACATCGCCAAACGATAGATTATCGGGGGTGTCTGTACGATCATCACAGGAGGTAAAGTGGCAACGACAGGTTCTATCTTGGATTGTGGGACTTGCAAAGTTACGGACTCTTAACAAACAATGATGGATGGTGAACAACTTTAGGTTTCCCGCAATTCATTCGAGGCATTTACTGTATTGTGTTTGGCGTCGTTGTGTTTTTGTTTGAATTTCGATTACCATCCATCATCACGCAGCACGCTTCCTTCCTCTTTTCTTTTATCGGCCGCGGAATCTGTACGTATCACCCTGGGGAGCATTATGCATAAAGAAGTATACGTGGGCATCTTTTGTTTGTATGTATATTAAACTAACATGGTGGCGGCGATAATTTTTATTCATTGCGGCGTACCCATAGTCTACATATTGTAAGTGACAAGCTTGGCACGATAATGCTTACAAAGAGCTATAAGAATTTAACTGTTACAACTTGTTTTCCTTAGCATTGGATGTATTATTCTAAACTACCTACCATTGGCAATCGCATCTGGCGTCATTGTAAGTGGTGTTGAGTAAAACATTGATAGACAGGCAGGAACAGAGCAAGAGAGGAGGAAGAGATTGCCAAAGAGATCATGATAAAGAAGGGGCAGGTGGATTAAATTGAGAGCGTGAATCATGCATAGGTGGCCGTGTTCGGTGTAGCGTACGTTATACTACAATTCATCCCAGGCATCGAGGCGCCTAGTAATATGAAGCGCCAAGCACTTGACGATTCCATGGATGGCGGAGGAGGATCATCCGGAGGCCGAGCCGCTCAATGGGCCGCAGCCAATGATCAGCCTTATGGCTCACCTACGAATTATGGCCCAAGCGCAGCCGACACAGGATATACTGCCAACGTGAGCCATAACAGTACTAGCGTTGTATAACTACAATATTAGTAACGATAATCGTATGCATGTAATAGTGATGTTGGCATTTAACTCTCCCCCATACTCTATGTATTTAATAATCTTCCTCAGTTATTTACTTATACAATAAATGTAAGAAAAACCACGCGAGAAATGAAAATCGGGATACCCATCTCGGGTAGTTCCAAAGTATAATTCAATAGAGCAGACGACGGTAAAGAAAACTCATTTAACAACTTACAGGAGCAGTAAGATATTGTAATGGTACCTACTGCAGTAGCAAAGTATCACGTATAAATTATTAAAATCCCGGTCTTTCATGTTTGGCATTAAAGATACCCTCGAATAGGCTATGTAGGCTACAATTGGTATGATTCAAAAGCATGCGGCCAGAGCAAGCTCTGCATTACAGTCGACCCCCGTTAACGTCAACCCTCAGGGCACCAGCAAAAGTGTCGACCATATCGAGGGTTGACGACCACCGGGGGAATAGGCAAAATCTTTAACTGCTAAATTTGAAAAGGTATATATTCTTTCAGCGCTCCCCGTGTAGCTTCTTCAGATGAGAACTATAACACACTTTCCACTTACATACTCAGTCCCTCTGTCGTATCAAATTAAGCACTGCTCTATGTATATATGTATCATACGTCGTTTATTTTAATTTGTTACAATAAGAAAGAATAAACTAAAGTACAATAACTACTGCTACTATTATGATAGTTTTGATATTTTACAAGAAGGATTGTTTCCTTCCTTAATGTAAATACAAGGAAAAAGCTATATACCTATCTAAAGAAACTAACTTTGGATTCTTTTTTGTTCTTTTTATTTGCCTTTGAACATTAATTTCAATATCTTTGACTGGTGATCAAATAAATAATTAGTAGTGTGGTATAATCGTTCCCAATAACCTCGGACCTTTGGTGACAATGGCGGTGGGCTTGAGTTGTTGTTACGTTCTCGATTGCTGCTGCTACTACTACTTGCTTTGTTGTTGTTGTTGGAAGCAGAAGCAGGAAGAGGAGATTTGCTATCGAGTTTTTCTTCTTCACTTTCTTCCAAAGAGTCCTGCCATCCAGAAAGGTTCATCAACGGGCATTTGAAATCAAAATGGGTAAAGTTGACCGGGTATGGAAATTGAATATCCAGTTTTGCCAAGGGCGTTACTTGATGATGCTGATAACGAGACAGAGAGGTACTAGGTGGTAATGGCATCACACATTGATAATAGTAGCGACTGCTGTTCTCTTCTTCTTCGGCTGGTTCTCGTTGTTGTTGTTGTTGTTGTTGTTCCGCGTTATCAACATCATCACCAAGTTTGACAGTAAACGATAGAAATTGTGTATCCGTTTGACTTGTTGACATGCCAATGACTGCCGTCAAATTCAATGACTTGTTTGCTGTTGGAACAATGGCTTGTCTTTGCTGTTGTGAAGATCCATAACAGTATAAGAGTATTATGCCAATCAATATCAACACGAAAACCAGACGAGCGAACAGACGGGGTTGTATCATTGCGTTCGGGTATAAGGTATTCTTGTTGCTGTTCGCTGTACCCATCCAATAAACATCCGACGTAGCAGCAGTAGCAGCAGCAGCAGTAGTAGTAGCGACATTATAATTATTATTTTTGTTGTTGTTGCTTTTGTTGTCGATATTATACTGTTCTTTGGTACGTATGACATCGAGCACTTTTTCCCGCTTGAGCGCCTTTTGACGTGATTGCCTGAGTATGCTAAAGACGGTCTGGCGGTCCAATGCAGCGAATTGATCAATCGTGAGGATTTGATAAGGTGCAGGCGTCGTCATGCTTGATGCTGCCCAGTCTTTTCCTAATCGTTGTACGAGCCCACTCGGAATTGCGCTGCTATGATTGGTGCAACGACTACTATCGTTGTTAGTGCTGCTCATCATCATTGCCGTTGTCGTCGTCGTTGTTGTGGTGGCGGTGCTGCTGGTGCTGCTGCGATAACCTTTCTTTTTCGCATTTTTTTGAAATGATGGTGCAAGGCCCACGTCAAGTTTGGACAATGAGATATCGACGCATCTGATCTTGTATTGAGCAAGCAAGTCCGCAAATTGTGTACGTCGTTCGTCAATGGTTGGAATGGTGTTGACAGCGGCGCCAGTATTAATAACACTAGAAGCAGGAAGAGGTGGTGGATTGGAGGCACTAGAAGAAGAAGAGACAGTAGATCTTGGGTATTGATAATGATGATGGTGTTGAGATCGAGGTCTTGTCGTAGTAGTAGTAGTAGTGGTAGCAGTGTTTCCACTTGATAGAATGGGCATGATGGGAATGCCCAACTTTTTAAGTCGCCACAAGATGACCATGTCCTCGTCGGTTCTTAACCGGTCCTTGACATTATGTTCGTCATAGTTGTTATCGTAGAAATATACGCAAAGATCAATTCCATTGGGTGCTTTATCCGGGTAAACAAATCCATCAAACTTCTGGCGAGCATAGACAGGAACTTGTTGTTGCTGCTGTTGCTGCCAATCGCTTGGATATTGTCTTGCAGAATCGCACTGTAGCCAAACGTATTGCTCGATCATAAAAGTAAGGTTGTTCTTGTCTTCTGCTGTTGTCTTTTCGTTGGACGACGACGACGACGACGACGATAATGAAGACCAGGTGAAATCTGCTTCAATGATGGACAAGCCGTTATCTTCACACGTCTCAATGATATTGTCATATTGATCCTCTCCACCTTGATCAGGAGGCACAAGATCCATCAGCAACAAATGGTGCTTCCTTTCCTTGAACATCTTGGGATTTTGCAGCCAGGATGGTGAATCATAATGAAATAATGTAGCAAATGCTTGAGACAGCTTTTTCATGAAATTGCGCTTGTCCTTTTCTGATGCCGCACCCATATACAGTACTCGTATGAAGCTTGGCATTTCGAATTCTTGTTCATGTGTTGTTGTTTTCTCCCCGTGTTCTTCCTCTTCTTTTTCCATTTCATCAACATCCAACAAGTCTTCCCTTTCCGTTCTTGTTGCAGCAGCAGCAGCAGCAACAGCAGCATAAGCATCCTTTTCTTGTTGTTCTATAGCATGCATTTGCTGTTCAAGGTCCTTTTGTGCGCCAAAGAGATCCATCAATGTCTCTGACCCAGCATGTGCAACAATATCGTCGTCTGCTACTAATGCTCGTTGTTGTCGCCCTTCGTCGCTACTACTGTTGCTGTTGCTGCTGATTGCCAATTCAATAGATCCTCTACCAAAGGAATCCGAGGTTGACGACGACGACGACACTTGCGAATCTGGTCTTGTCGTTCTTGCTCTTCTTATGCTTCTTCTCTCTAACG